CTGGGATACAGACAGTGAGACTGACCGACCCCGTACCCCTGGTGCCCCCCCCCGCCCCAACGTGAATGAGAGACAGATGTGCAAACTGGTTCGAGCGAGTGGAGGCCCTTCGGGGACGGGGTGGGGCCGTGCGGACGGGGAGCTGCTGTCATTGTCCGTTTCCTGTTTGTGAATCCGAGATGATGTCATTGCTGCGGGGAGAACACACTGTTTGCACGCGTTCCTAGTTAGTGCACGCGGACGGCTGGCTCTCGGGAATTCCTACTTTGCTGCGCGGTCAGCAGCTCAGTTCTGAGTAGAATTCCTGGGAAAAGCAGTTTTTCCAGGCGGCTTGGCCGGTCCCGTTTGGCCACTGAGCCGAAGCTGTCCCAGGAGCTCTGCGTGGTCAGTTTTACTCCCGGGGACGGGAGGCAGCTGTCGGCCGTGGCAGCCTCGGCTCATGTTGCCCACGAGCATTTACCCATCGAGCCCGAGCTGGCTGCGGAGGTGCTGGGTGGATTCGGGCTCCGGCAGGCGCTGCCCTGTGATAGAGGCGAGAGGAGGGGGTGGTGACCTGGCTCTGGGCCTGGAGGCCTGAGGTCTGCAGGCCCCCCGGGGGCTGTCCTCGCCCTCCGGACTGACTCAGTCACTCTCAGGTGTCCTGGAGAGCTGGCCGGGGAGACCGGTGCCGGCAGGACAGGGCGCGGACAGGGGAGGTTGGTGACCCCGGAGTTAGTGATCTGGAGACGTAGTGTCTCTGACGGTGGAGGGTCAGTTTTGGGAAACTTCCCTCTGTTTGTGCTCATGACACAGGCCCAGGACCGCTGGTGCCCTCAGCCGCCTGTCCCCAGAGTGTCCGGAAGAACCTGGCGTTTAAGACGGGCGCTGGGTGGGGAGGGTGCCTGGGCCGAGGGCGCGTGGGGCAGGGGGACCCTCTTGCTGTGTGGCCAGGAGGGCCCCTGGCAGAAGCACCCGGAAGTGTTTGACTTCAGAAAAAAAAAACAAAATACCCACTTTTCAAAGTGAGAAAAGCAGTGCAGTATGTCCTCGGGTGACGTCGGAGATCCGTTCCCACGGCGACGTAACACGATTTTCGCCGTAAGGCGGAACCCACCTACATAAGCACCTGCGTCGCTCACATGGAGCCCAGGCACAGCAGTCATGAAGGGAAACAGTAAAAAAATGTAAAAGAAAGATAACAATTCCTGACCTTTACTTGTGGTGGATAAATAATAAAAAACATAAAGCACATATGCACATACGTCGAAAAGACGGAACTTTATTTTTTTTTATAAATAAATGGGAGATGGTGACGTAACCACGAAACGTACGTGGAGTCCGACGTAACCCGAGGACGGCCTGTTTTCAGGAAAATCAGAAGAGGAGACACCTTAGATGCAAAGAAGGCGAACCCTGGGTGCTCCCTGTAATACTTATGGGACATTCGAGGAGACACGGGATCTCACTGAATTCGGGCCGTTTTCCTTTCGATTCCCTGGTAGCTTCTGCAGCTGACGGTGTGGAATTGACACTGCTCCCCCTCCCCCTCCCCCTCCCCCCGAATCCGTGTGTAAGGGGCGGATGTGAATGACGGATTCACACACTCTTGTACGGACACGACCTTCCTCTGAAAGGTCAGGGGTTGTGAGGGGGGATCAGAGCGGTGGGCAGTCACCCCCCTCCGTTCCCAGGTGTGACAGGAACGCGGCCGGTGTCTGACCAGGGTCGCTGGCCATTCGGTCCTACAGAGTCAGCCCCGGTTTGCAGGTGTGTCGAGCCTTTCTAGTTCTAGAATCATCTGTTGACGTGTGAATTTGAAATGACTTTAGAAAACAAATTTCAGCTGAAAATCTAGACCTGCGAGAAGTAATTAAAATAATTGAAATTGTTTTCCTTCTTTAACTTCTCTAGATACCTGCACTTCAACCAGATAGAAACCCTGGACCCCGAGTCCTTTCAGCACCTGCCCAAGCTGGAGCGGCTGTAAGTGCCTGCTGTCCTGACCTACCCCTCTGGGCCGGGGGCGGGGCGGGGCGAGGCCAGAA